ATATATATATATATATATATATATATATATATATATATATATATATATATATATATATATATATATATATATATATATATATATATATATATATATATATATAATTATAAAATCTAATATGACACTAACTTCTTCACTTCTCTCGTCACAACGAAAACCCCCATGCATCTTTTTATATTCATCGTATATTTTCCAAACATGATCATTTAAATATCCTTCAATTATAAAAGCTTAGTTATAGATATTAAAAAATGGTAGTTACTAAATAAACCAAATAATACATGATGCATTTATATCAGCATAAAATTCGCTTACTGACATATACAATATACACCTTCATTGTATAGAAAGGTTTAAAAACTCTAATGGGTATATATTCAAATCCTTTATGAGCAGGAAATAGGAGATTAATGCTGAATGATGTACATCCATCTCCTGGTGTGGACAGGAAGCACTGATCATTTTGAGCATCTCTCAAATCTGTCACTGCAGATATCTTGATAAAACTACAGGAGGAACAAACTTGATGAGAATTTGAGAAGACTGTTCAATGAACATTGGTATGGGTTGATCACCTACATTTATGTGAAGAGCACTCTGATGTTAACAACCCAAGCTGAAGATTAACTTTGTTCTGTGGGCAAACAACAATAAAACAAGCCAACCATTACCACATCCAATAAGAAACAATCACCTGCACCACTCAAGAAGTTCCAAAACCCCTTGACGCATCAATTGAAATCACATAAAACCACTCTTCACACACATGAAATGGACACAGGAATCATTCACAGAAAGCAGTGATTTCATTTAAACTTGTTGCCTCATGTCAGTAGCAGACTTGTGGTCAGCTTTATAATGCCTCGTATCACAAGAACCACCAAGACCAGTGACTAACTCACTGGTTATCTGAGCCTCCCACATTATCTTCAAGATCTTGAGTATCAAGATGATACATGAAACAAACAAATAGTGCAAAGCCTGCCATCAAAACCATATAGAAACAAGGTGCTACTTGGTGACAAAGTTGCACCATATGATCTGCATGGCATACATGATATGCACAACCAGTGGCGCATCTCACAGCTCTATAGACAAAGGACCTCTGATTCTATTGATTAATAACCAGCAGGCATACTTCAACATGTGGTTTTGAACAATGCATACCAATTACTATTTTAAACTTTAATTATCAATTTATGTTCCAAGATTTGTGACATAACAAAATTCCGTCTCTGCCACCTATATTTTATCTAATGATAGTCCCAACCATCTACAGAGCAAAGAACATCAAAAGCAATGGCAGATTGAATCTTTTACCTCGAAAGCTAACTACATAATAATACAATCTTCTCGACTGGACAACAGCAAGAAGAATCCTAATTAACCAGAGATGTCACATGCAAGCACCTAGAGGATAAAAGTCGCATCCAGTATCACTATCCATCAAGCTAAGTTCATCCCTTTCCTGCATAGCACATATAGCAACTTGACAATCAAGAACAATAACACAAATATGAAAATCTGCAAAAAAAAAAAACACAAATATGAAAAGCATGCAATATGGACAGTGAACTTAATGGACCAAAGTAAGTCTCCACACAATGCAAACAGTCTAAAAGAAGACATTGAAATAAGAAGAAACTAAGGAAATAGAAGCAATTCTATTGTGGTACTTCTCAGGACCTGAAGCTGTGTTTAGGTCAAAATATGACCCCCGTTCAAATAAACTTGCAAGTATTGCAAAGACATATCAGGAGGATGAACAGTGATCTCATTTGAACCTCCGCTGAACATATTTAGACAACCGAAATAAACAATAGCCACCTCCAATTAAATCATCAAATTGTCTTGCTATGACCAAGAAGATTATGCTACTATATATGCTAATTTGTTCACAAAATGATGTACTAGTTTGAGAATGTTCACTGAAACTATATGCATCAGTGTGGTACATGCAAATAATATAAATAATTAAAAGCCCTATGTTAGTTGAACCTCAACTATTCATAAGGGAAAATATCACTTGGGATAAAAGAAACATTAATAAATTAACCAATAGAAACACCAAAACTAAAGTTGCACAAATAATTGCAAAGATAAAACAGAATTAAGAGCCTAAAAAGAAATAATTAAAAGCCCTATGTTAGTTGAACCTCAACTATTCATAAGGGAAAATATCACTTGGGATAAAAGAAACATTAATAAATTAACCAATAGAAACACCAAAACTAAAGTTGCACAAATAATTGCAAAGATAAAACAGAATTAAGAGCCTAAAAAGAAATATTCATTTATATAATGATATAAGCAAAAGACGAGATCGATAACAACTACGTGCTCTTTTTTCATGTAATTCTATTTTTTAGC